AGTTCTCTGGTGCCTTGTCTGCAACCCTGATACAGATAGGCATGTTCCCAACTTTCATTTAATCCAACTTTCCCATTTCCCAGATGAGGAAATGGGAACCTAAGGAAGGTTACATGTCTAGTGAAGCTCATGTAGTTAGCAAGTGATGTAGTATTTGGGGGATATCCCTGATTGCAGAAGTTAAGAATTCCAAAAGAGCCCTGAAGAAGGGGTTTTGAGTTATTGGGTTGTGAGGTTGCAGCCCCAGTGGCTATGAGAAAGGGATCAACTTCATGACTTGGTTATCAGCCAGGTTCTAGGATAACTCAGTGCATCTGTCCTTTGTATGAATGACATTTTTTACTTGCTTAGCATCTTACCCAGGATATCTAGGAGGATGGGATTTTCAGGGACTGGAGAAGTGGTAGAATGCTTGCTTAGCATTCACAAAGTCATGAGTTCAATCCCTAGCAACACACACACACACACACACACACACACACACACACACACACACACACACACACGCAGTGATTGGGAATGTTTGGGGAACTAGTAAGACTTCCTAGTATTGAGTATGCTCAGAAGGAGGCTAGAGGTTAGGATTTCACCTGATAACATTGCAGTGTGATTTGCAGGTGACTGGTGATGGAGTGAGTGGTCCCTTAAACTCAGTACATCCCCTCAAATTCTTAAGACAGCTGTAAGCTGGGACTCAATCCTGGGTTCAGAGATGATTCTTCACATTTTTTTTTGCCTCCTCCCAGATCACTAGAGTCATTAGCCACCACTAGACTTTCTAGTCAGCAGAAGTCTGTCATGCTGGGAACTAGCTACAGGGAGGCAAACCCAGTCCTTCTGGAGCCCTATGGTTTGGTTTCCTTAAACCTAGGGTGTCTTTCACACTTCCTCCTTGGGGGCAGTATTAACTCTTTTCTTCATTATAAGTCATCAGTGAACATGAATGTAACATTCATGAACTGATTTAACGCCTGCTGAACACACACCATAGACAACAACTGAGTGGTACTGAGATGGACCAGGCAGCAATTCCATTTTTTAAGCTATTGATGTCCACACACTACTACAGACTTCTCATTGGATCACCTGGCTCCACCTTCTCTCACCTAAACACAGGATGCCTTGGTTCCCAGACAGTCTGGTTGGTTGTATTTGGGAGTCTCCACCTCTCTCAGGTCCTGTCTTCTCAGAGAGTAGCTCTTGGAACTGTGTTTTTTTCAGGGTTCCACCAACTTAAAGGGAAGTCCATTGGGATGAAGCTTAGCCCACAGTCACCAGAGGTGACCATGAGTCCATGCAGGGCATCTCAGAAGTCAACTTGGCTTCCACCCTGACCTTCATTTGCCTTTTCCACTTTCAGTCTACTCTGGAGTTTCCAGAGACTGGACTCACTGCCTGTCATGTGGTCTTGCAACAGATTGGATGCAGAGGCAGCAGGAATGAGAGCCCAGCTGTCTTCCATCAAACGGAAATAAAAGCAATTTGCCAAAGTGTGGAACAATGCCACACTTCTCACTAAATTCTTTATGAAAGTAGCTGCTTTTGTAACAAGTCAACATTACATGTTAATTTGTAACTTTAGAATTCCTTTGAAATGAACTGATAAATACTAAAAACTTTTTCTCAGGATTAATCTCCAATATTACATATTTCAACAATTATTATCCACCTAAAGAAAAGTTGTCTGGACTATTCGGTAAGTTTTAGATGTCTATGCGTGCATGTGTGCATGTGTGCATGCATGTTTGTGTGTATATGTGTCTCTCTGTGTGTGTATGTGCGTGCACACGCGTGCGTGCGTGTGCGTGTGTGCTTATGTGTGCGCCCATGAGCATGAGCATGTGCATGTTACTGGAGACAGAATTTAGAGGTCCATGCATCTTAGGCACGTGCACTACCTCTATGCTATATTGTTAGCTAGATTTTTACTTTTTTGAAAAAAAAAAGGGGTCTCACTGAGTTGAGTTGGCTGGGATAGACCAGGCTGCCCTTGAATTTATAAGTTCCTGCCTCAGCCTCCAAAGTAGCTGGGATTACAGGCCTGTGTTACCAAGCAGGGCTAATTTTTAGATTTTAAAAGAAAAGTTAAAAACCACAGTCTAATCTGGTGACAGCTGTTGGCCATGTAAGTGACTCAAATTAGACCCGTCAGATTAGATTATGGAAGAATTTACATTCCCTGTCAGAGCAGAACTTTCTCTGTTTTCTCCTAGTGGACATGAAAGCGTTCAGTTAGCATTGCCAATGGTAGCCTGTTGCAGCCTTGAGTGTCAACATGGACATACTGGAATGGGAGACAAACCAGGAAATGGAGGTGCCACAGTGCTGTAGGTCTTGTCACTCTTCTGACAAATGGGTTCCACCAGGGGCAGCCCCTCCCTGTCTACGTTCTCCAGAATTCCCACTTCCCCTTCTAGAGCCATCTCCTTTGTATAACAAATTGTCCACATGTCTTAGGATGGATGCATTCATGGAAGGTTTCTCCCCTGCTTGGCAAGTGGGGGACTCAATTTCACAGCTCTGAGGCTAAGAAGCTGTCATACCTAAGGTTCATATGGCCAGCTTCAGAAGCAAGAGGAGGTATCATGGGGCAGAGTCTTTTACTGCCCCTTGGGAAAAATCTCTGTGGTAGTTTGAATGTAATTGGCCTCCATAAGCTCATATGGAGTGGCACTGTTTGGAGGTGTGACTTGGTTGGAGTAGGTATGGCCTTGTTGGAGGAAGTGTGCCACTGTGGGGGTGGGCTTTGAGGGCTCATATATGCTCAAGTCACTCTCAGTGTCTCAGTTCACTTCCTGTTGCCTGTGGGTCAAGATGTAGAACTCTCAGCTACTTTTCCAGTACCATGTCTACCTGCATACTGCCATGCCCCACCATGATGATGATTAAACCTCTGAACTAAACCTCTGAATTAAAAGTTTTTCTTCATAAGAGTTGTCGTGATCATGGTATCTCTTTATAGCAAAAGAGACCCTAACTAAGACAGTCACTGATACCTTTCTTTCTGATAATGATTGTGTTGGTTTCTGACTTGCAGCTCTTTTTAGAGCTATCAAAAGGATCTTCTAAGTAAGTTGATGTAGGAGGAAGGAGATGGAAACAGTGCAGAATGACCTTTTTGCCTATTAAAACTAGCCTTCTGACCGTTGAAACAGTTTCCTTCTGTTAGAAGTGAATTTGGTGTCAAGGGGGCTGCCACCAAGGCCTCAGGCAACAGGTCTCTGAGCCATTGATGAGCTGTGAGTGTCCACATTTTGACTTGGAAATCACAAGAAGCTGAAAAAAATGCTTACTTGATTTTCACTTTCATCTTGATAGGCAGTAAGTCCCAAGAGGAAGCAGGAAATTAATTCGGGGACCTTAGAGAACATTCTGGACTTTTCTCTGGCAAGTTGCAAGAAAGACACAAAAGTGTCTCTTGCTAGAATGAGACCAAATTTGAAGAGAGAAGACTCTTGAACTTTTCAGAACAAGAATGGCCCAGAAGACACAAAATGCACTAGGCTCTGGGGAAGACCCTAGAGAGAATTTAATGTCCAAGTTAAGATCATCAAAAAGAATTTAATCTTCCCAGTTTTGGAATGAAACCAAGGTTATATTCAATGATATGTGAAGCCAGTTAAAGCCAGAAAATGCAATGACCATATTTAGCTGTTAGTATCTATTTTCATTCCATTCTATGTGTTTTTCATATTAAAAATGTCATGAGTAATTATTTCTACCGTAGTTTAAAGATGTCATAAGGAATAGAAAAAATTTTCTAATCTTCATTGTTTACTCCTTTGCTCTCAGGGGTCCTTGAAGCCAAAGAGTGTCTGTTAGTGAATTAGAAGAAAACCACAGATAATTACTCTCTCAGCCTCCAGGGCACCATAAGTTGCTTTTCATTGTAAGAATGCCGGAGAAGTTGCCACAAATTAAACCAATTAGGATAATAAGGGGAGAAGGAGAAGATTAAATTTATTTCCATCTGATTTAACTTATTAATTTCTCAGGGGAAAGGGATTTCCCTGCCACTGTTTCATGTTTTAACCTATGAGCTCCTCAAGTTCTCAAGACATGTCAGAAACGTGATTCCTCTCTGCCTCTATCTGTGGTGTTAGCCTCTGTCTTTTGGAAGGAAATTTGAAAAATGGAAGTCAGTGAACAAGTTAGTTAATATATTTGTTTGAATATGTATATGTAATACTTATATATACATATGTCTGTCTCAAATAAAACCAAGTCAAACAAAACGAAGAAATAGGAAGAATTATAGGAAAAGCTGGATATGAGGACACGATTATAATTCAGCACTGGGAGGCTGAAAAATGTGGTTCATAAGTCTGAGACCAGCCTAAGCTACACAGCAAGTCCATGTCTCATAAATGCAAAAGGAAAGAGACAAGGGGGGAAAAGAACCACACCCCTTCTATTTGCCCAGCATGGTCTACACTGGCAGCATGGGGTGTGAGTAAACAAGGGCTTCTGGCCTGTAAAAACTGATATCCCTAAGGGGCAAACACACAAGCAAACCCTCCACTGACACAATCAGCAAGTGCGGCAGAAAACAATGGAGTAGAGAAGGGGGACGCATCACTTCCCAGGCTGGGGATGTGGCCCAGTTGGTAGAGGCCTTGTCTATCATGCCTGAAGCTTTGGGTTTAAAGCTCAGCACGGCTTAAACCAGACATAGTGGCACACACCTGTGATCCCAGCCCTTGGGAAGTGGAATCAAATTTGATGTCATCGTTGTCTATACAGTGGGGTGTGTCTGAGAGAAGTCCTGTGTGGCAATGCAAGGCCGGGAGGAAGGCTGTGCTGTATTAGTCTCCTCTTTCTTTACAACTCCATTGTTGCCGCAAGCGAACATCTCCCACACCCTTCCTCTACCTGATGACAAGAAGCTCACTCTAGAGAAAACTGTCAGGGAGGAACTGGTCCAGTTCTCATGCCTGCTAAGCTGTTGGTTTTGAGGAAACAAGAGACTACTGGCTTCTCTTTCTCAGCCCCATAGGAAATATGGCTTTAGAGCAGGCTTAGGGCTTGACCCAATCACAGTGACCTTGCTGAGTCACTCAGCTCTGCCTGCTGCAGCCAGTGTAAACCTGCTCTAGGGTAGGCTAATGAGAATCTGGGATACATAACATCATGGTCGCTCGGGAGGGATGAAGATAATGACTCTAGGATGAACATCAGGGAACTACATGCAGCCCGGGTCCCCATGAGAGTTGGCCTCTCTGCTGCACTTCCTGTGGAGTTCCAGTCACAGAGGGCTGGCGGGTTCCCGGCCTCTGCTCCATCTCTTTCAGTTCAGTGGGCACCCCGCATTATGCTCTCTCCCCTCATAACTCCATTCCAAATCAGAGCCTTGAATGGTGGCTCAGTTAGGTCTCAAGTCCCACCCCAAGTCTTTGCTGCAATGAAGTTTTCAGGAGTGGGAGCCTGTGAAACTGGAGTAGGCGCTGGGCAAGGCAATGTGCCCGCTTGCCACCCTAACCAAGTGTGCTCGCGCTATCTCCGTTCAACCTTGGGCCTCCTTCCAGCCACTCTGCTGTAGTGTACACGAGGGACAGCTGCAAAGCCACAATAAGTTTTCCTCCACAGCTTCTGCAGTCAGGGTGTGTGTCCCCAGGCAAAATTTGATCAGGCTTGGGCTGGTTTCATCCGACCAAGGTCTGGAGGAAGAGTTGATAAAGAGAGATTGCATTCTGTCTCCAAGCTCTAAGGGAAGGACAGCCGTGGTTGGCTTTGCTCATTTTTATAGCTGCCATTCTAAACATGGGTCTTGACATATAGTAGGCACACGGTAAATATTTGTTAAGTAAGCAAGTAAATGGGCAAAAGTAGAATTGGGAGAGAAGCCTTTTGGCTTTGAATATCAGGCAGGCACATTCATTCGAGCCCATGTTTGCTTAACAAACGCTAATAACGCTTGCTATGCTCTAAGAGCTTCACAAATATTAACTCATTTAATTCTCATAATTGCTTGATGAGATATGTGCTGTTATTAATCCCATTAAAAACACAGGCTCAGAGAAATCATGTTACTTGCCAAGGTCGCACAGAAGCTGGGAATACATGGGAATGGGCTCCCCAATTCTCTTGAGCTACCCGGAGAATTACTGGTTACTGATTTGGTGTTCTGGGACCATCCTGAATATTGATCTGTAGTGAATGCATAGGGCTTCCCCTTAGTTCCCCTGTGTCTCCTCTTCCAGGCTTCTCTAGATCATATCTGCCCAGGTGTCTTCTTCTTTGTTCCTCTTTCATCACAGATGGGCTATGTGGGCCTCTTAGAAGTCCCATGAGCCCCAGCAGCCTAGATGAACTCCACAGTAGGCACATGACTGAGGGCAACACTCCTCTGCCTAGTTTAGAGCAGATTTGGGGACTATACCAACCTTGACTGCTACAGCTTCTTCCAAGAAGCTTCTGGAAAGGTCTCAGCAGCATCGAGTGAATATGCTGTCCCTGCTGTCTCATAGGGTCTAGTGGGCACTCTCTCCTCAGCTGGTGTATTTGAAGGGGCTGGATCCCCTGTAAAGCCAGATGGAGAGAAAACTCTGAGAAAACTCTGGGGCTCCAGGAAACATGGAGTCTGTAAATACTCTGGAGGATTGGCTCCTTATAGGTACCATCAAGGTAATTTGCAAATCACAACACAATTAACAAAACACCAGAGACCGCTGACCGTTCTCACAGATCACAGGGGCCTGTCATGTAAGAAGAGGATGGGGAAAGGAGGGACAGAGGGAAACAGTTATACTGTTGCTTCAGAGTGCTTCCCATCAATCCATCCCCCTGCCTCTAAGCTCTGCAGCTCTTCCTAAGCTTAGACCTCTTCCTGGGGACCAGGAAGTCCTGATATCTAGGGTACTGACCCTCTACTTTAAGACTATGGAACTCCAGTCTCTTCTCTTACATGAGGGAACATCCAACTCCATGCGGATCTGCCGCCAATGACAAGAGTTCCCATGAGTTTAGGGAGCTGAGGCTCTCTGCATGTTGGGAGAGCCCCATGAAATTATAGCAGGCCCCGTAGCGCTGAACTTTTTCTGAATCTCAAAACTACATTCCCTGCTCATCTGTGTGGAGCACAGCATTTTCTTCAGCTGGGTTTTTTGTTCTCCCTCCGGTGTTTACATGAACTGGCTGAACCCATCACATGGTGACTGTGTTTATATTTGCAGAAGCACCACCCAAGGGAAGTTCTGTTTGCATAGAGGTCACCCCATCTCCTGGGCTTGGCTGCAGCCCCACACAGAGGTTTCAGTAGCAGGACCTGAAGGCATGCCAGGGCCCTCTCCATGTTCATTGTTTTCTTTGCTCCCTTTCTAGGCTCTCCAGCACTCCTAGAGAGGTAGATGACGACTCGGTGTCTTAGTGATGAAACACCATGACCAAAAGCAACTTGGTAAGGAAAGGGTTTATTTCAGCTTACAGCTCTCCAGTCATGATCCATCCCTGAGGAAAGTCAGGGCAGGAACTCAAGGCTTCAACTGAAGCAGAGGCCACAAAGGGGTGCTGCTTACTTGCTTGCTCCTGATGGCTCTCCCAGCCTGCTTTCTTACAGCACCCAGGACTTCCTATCCAGGGGTGGCACCACTCACCATGGGCGGGGCCCTTTCATGGCAATCTTCAATGAAGAAAATGCCCTACAGGCCAATCTCATGGAGGCATCTTTTCCTCAGATGACCCTATCTTGTGCCAAGTATAAAAACTAGCCAGCACACTGGGTGATGGAATAATTGCCCTCCTGCTACCCCCTCTCCAACCCAACCTCATATCCCAGCTTTTGCTGTCCCCTTTCTTAAAGCCTCACTGCTCCCTAAACTTGGTTGGTAAAGCAGATGACCCCACCCTATGACCCGTGGGTAGCTGGTACTAGGCCTGCTGGGTTTAGAGTTAGGCTGCTGGGCCTGATAACTCAGGAGGATCAAGAGCATGGACTGGGCAATCAGACAAATGAAGACGGAACCATGCCTTCGCCAACTTCTCACTGTGTGGCTCTGGACAACACCACTGAAGTTTGGTTTTATCGGCTCGAATGAAGTAGTAGTCTCTGTCTCTTAAGATTTCCTGGAGGAATAACCTAGAGCAGATGTATAATGTGTTTAAGGATGTCGCTACTGTGGCTGATCACTATAGTAGAAGTTAGGGCTGGCAGCCTTCCCAAGCTGGATCTGCTCTTCAGAGTGTTGTTCATCAACAGTTTTTCTTTGGTACTCCAATAGGGAGATTTTGTAGTTATTGATTTTTTTCCTCTTCCCCTATTACTTCATATCTTTTCGTGAATTGTGACACTTCAGGGACCCGGAGTCATTCCAATGACTCAGATTTTTTTTTTCTTATTCCCTTGGGATGGTTAGGGTGAACTACCAACTTGACAGAATCTGGGACCATCCATTAGATGGGCCTTTGGGCATGCCTGTGGGGGATGATCTTAATTAAGGCAGAAAAACTGCTCACTGTGGGTGATACTAGTCCCTGACTGCATCCTGAACTGTATAAGATGGGGGAAAGGGAGGCAAGCTCTGGTGAGTGCATATTCGTTGTTGGTTTTGATTGTGGCTTAGCATCGATCAGATGCTTCAGGCTTCTGCTTCCTTGGTTTCTTAGCCACCATGGGCTGTACCTTGGATTGGGATTTAAGAGAAATTCCCCTTCCCTTAAGTTGTGTTTATTAGAGCATTTTAATCACAGCAATGGAAAGAGAGATAGAGTAGAAGGAGGCTGTGTTCGCTGGGGAATCTGCAGGTAATCACTAGCCTTTGGTTGGACAGAGGGGCAATAATCCCCAGGATAGCCCTGGATCTCCCCAGAAGAAAGGTCAAAGAGATTGAATGCTGGTCTAATAATGGGACCTATTGACCATAAGGGGAGAGCAAGTCTTTTCTCCCATTATCCCTGTTGCAGGTTCAATTCAGGACAGCTCTCGATGTCAAGAGAAGCACAGATCAGGCCCATCGACTGGAGTTCTTTCTTCTCCTGGTGTCTGAGGTTATGTTGTGGCTGCATGGACCACTTCACCTGAGATGGGAAAACAGGAAAGTGAGACCAGTTTGAATGGAAAGGAGAGAGGCATTAAGAACATAGAGACTTGGCGCTTGAGGGCATGTGAACGGATCTGAGTGGAAGGGAACTTAACCTGGAGGAAAGGCAAGACTGTCTCATTGTTAACTTGATTGGATTAAGAAACACTTGGTGAACCCCACCTTTTGGTGTCTCTGTGAGGTTGTCTCCAGAAAGATTTAACTGATGGAGAAAGATTTGCCCTGAATACGGATGATGCCCTTCCATCGACTGGGGTCCCAGACTTTATGAAAAGAGGAAAAAGAAATTCAGCCAACTTTGGACATTCTGTTTTTTTCTGTCTCCCAATTTACTGAGATATGATCAAGCAGCTGCCACACACTCTCACTGCGGGAGACTACCCACCACCATGCCTTCCCTGTCATGATGCATGGTATCTTCTCAAACCCTGAGCCACGATACATCCTTCCTGCCTTAAGTTGCTTCTCATCAGGGACTTGAACACAGAGACTAGAAAGGTCACTAAGATTGTGGACCATGCTGCACCCACACAACAGTGAGCCCATCAGACTACTTTGGGAAGGTGTTCCCAGGGAGTACAATATGTGACTTTGCACAGATAACCTTTGTGAAACCCAAACCTCTGATGTTTTATATTGGGAGTTAGGATGTCCACTTTCACAGTTCATTAAAGCGACCAAACAATCCGTTCCCTTTTGGGTTTTCCTAATTCTTCAATAGTGATTTGCATGTCACCACAGCTTGGTGTGTTAGGCTAGTGGTAGCTAAGGAATAGAAGAGAGCTGTGGGTGTGTGTGGGGGGAGTTGTTCCTTTAACAGAGAGTGGTAATGATCTTTGGGGTAGCATGGCTCCAAATACTTGGGGTGACCAGAAGTGGGCCTAGGTGAAGCCTGCAGCAGAGTATCCTGTAAGGACATATGTAAAAAAATAGTTTGTGTCACTGTTTTGTAATTGTTTTTATTGAGATATCTTGCTTTGTAGCCTAGACTGCCTGGAATCATAGCAATCCTTGCTCCTAAGTACTGGGATTGCGACTATGTATTTCCACATAGGGTTAGAAACAATCTTTGATCAAGTCCAGCAAATTCCTACCTAGGACTAAGAGGGACAGGGAATCTGGGAAGGACTCTTGACTGTCCTTTTAGCTGAAGAGTTGTAGCTTTCAAGGCAGGCAAGTGCTCAGATTCCTACCATTGGCTGGCAGTGTGGATTCTGGCTATTACTTAGCTTCTAGATATGTCTTTTTAAATAAAAATAATTTTTGTTTTTGTTTTTCAGGTTGGCTTAGCAATGTTGTATTCAGGTCTGTTTTGGTCATGACATCCTATTGAATCTACTTGAGATAATCTTTAAAAAATGAAATCAGTATTACTAAGATTTTTGTTGTAGTTGTTATTGTTGTTGTGGTATTGGTGTTGGTGGTGGTGGTGGTGGTGGTGTGTGTGTGTGTGTGTGTGTGTGTGTGTATGTGCATTGAAACACATGTGGAGGTCACAGTAAAACCACATTTCCAGCATGAGAGATTTTAGGAGACAAAGCACATCTAAACATAGTAACACGTCGTACTTTTAAAGAAATTAGTTGAAAGAGAAAGGTCCTGTCCTTATGGCAGGCATGCCTCATTTGCCAACCTCTTAGGACTTGGAAAATAGCACGTCTTTCCAATGGTGGTACTCATTGTTCTGTGAGCTGGAAATGACATTGGTTTTAAAACTGGAGCCCTTATTCTAACGCCTCTCTATTGCTTTGTACTCCCATCTCCAACTCCAATCCCATCTGCTTGTCCACTTGTTGGTTATAGGAAGACAATTCCCTGTAGGTTGCTGGGTAAAGGAAGACCTGGATAACTCAGTTACTGGAAGCTGACTCAGTTAGGAAAGGCTTTCCAAAGAAGGTAAAGGGAGAATGTCAACGACTGATGGTGCCAGTTCTTCTAATTATGATGGCAAAACCGTGAAGAAATTATACATTTTTCTCCCAGTTCTTCAGGCATCTGTCTCTAGGGAGAAGATCCCTCCATGTCCCATGTTGAACATTTTTGGTTCGCTCACAAGTTTCTTCTTCCCTGTGTTCTAAAGGTCACAGCCAGATTATGTCAAAGCAACTATGAAGTTACAGGGCTGGATGTCTTATCTTTTCCCACCCAACTGGTGGCAACTGATATCTCCATGGAGACTAGAGAGTGAGAAAGGGTGGATTCCTCTACATCTTTCTAACATCATCCCAGCCTCATGGACTACAGAAGAAGTACTGAATGGTAAGGTATGTTAGCTTCATTCTAAGGTTGGGAGAGTCTGCTCCCCAGACACCTTCAGTACCACGTTGACCATCACCTCTCCAGAGGTTATTCTTTCAACAAAGCAATACCTGCCCCACCCCAAAACACCTTTTCCTTATTTAGCCAACGCTTTCTGCTTCACATGCTACATCAAGTTCTATTTTGGCATCACATTGTAGAGAATAGGAAGGTAGAAGCTGAGTTTTGACAGAAACAAGACCCTAACTCTTGCTAATAGCTTTTCCAAGTTTCCAACCCTAGAAGAAAGGTAAAATTAAAATAAAGCAAAACAATAAAACATGGTACTCACTCATACAGCCCACTTGAAACATGCCAAGACCAGAAAAAGAAAGGAAGAGAGACTGGGCACGTTTAGGACACGGGAAGGTCCATTGTGGGACGTGGGAACACGTATGGATTTATTTTACAAAGGAAATCAGTTCTTGAAGGACAGATCCATTAAGTACTAAATGCTTTTGGTAAAGAGGAATCACATCTGTATCTCTTGGCATCCAGAAAGAACTGACCATAATTTACCCCAGACAGAAAGATCCAGGAACTTTAGTCGTTTATAATTTACCTTACCAGTCAGCAAAAATGTCAAATAGCTTCAGTTTTCATTGCTCTTATTTTATTTGGACCATAAAGCAATAGAAAAGATCGCCGTCTATGTTGTATTTGGAAGTGGCCTTGAAGGAGCTCAAACCAGGTGACTTCAGTCTTCTTTTCCTGGCCATGAATCATATTGAATGTTTTCAACAATCTATCCTCAAATTGAACTTCATCTTCTAAGAAGCCTGCGTGGGAAGAACGTGTATGACATGGAGAAATGTGTGTGGTATAAGGTGAGAGAAGAGTACACCACTGTAGGAGAAAGTGTGGATAGCAGAGGAATGAAAACAGGAAGAAATATACCAAAATTCCACCAAGATGCAATTACCCTCATCCCACCATCAACTTGGAATCAAGAGATTCCAAATGCATGTCTTTTGCAGAATGTGTCTTTGTTGGAAGTGGCACAGGTGGTGACCTTCCTGGCTACGTTGTTTTTCAGAATGGAACATCTGTAGTGGATTTTCTGGTTCCATATTTGTTTCCTTTGCCTGTGATATTTTTGTTTGTTTGTTTTCTTTTTTGAGACAATCTCATATATCTTAGGTTGGCTTTGAACTTGCTATGTAGTCAAGGATTGACTGAATTTCTGATTTTCTTGTGTCTACCTCCCCAGTGCTGGGATCACAGGTATACATTATTTTGCCTGATACATACAGTATTGATATCAAACTCAGGGCTTTGTAGGTATACTACACAAGCTCTCTACCAACTGGGTTATATCCCCAGGTCTTTTCCCATGTACATATACAAGGGTAGGCACTCTCTCTCTCTCTCTGTCTCTCTGTTTGTCTCTCTCTCTGTCTCTTAGATGCTTACTATCTTCTATTTAAACTGCAATGAGATGGAGTGATGCTTCTGGGTGGGAGACCTATACAAAGTCACTATGTAAAGGCCAGTTGGTCCCAATCTTCCTCTAGTCACCTAATGTAGGAGGAATTCAGTGTCTATAGAGTTGGACGTGGGGGAATTGCCATATTCATTAGATACTTTATTCTTCTCCTCATCTAATCTGAGGGAACAGAGAAGGGAGTTTTCCTAAGTCTAAGGACACAGAGCTCCAAAACCCTTCTGTCTTTGACTCTACTCTGAGGATTATGTTGGGGGAGAGCAGGTGGGAAGACTCCTAAAGAGTTGAAGTTTAACCACATGGCCACTAACCTTTCTCAGGAGCTAGAGTTATCCTCATAATGGGACTCCTTTTTTTTCCTGGCTCTGGGCCAGATGACTATCTCTAAATTTGTCTGTGACTCTGTCACCTGTCCTCAATCCCACACCAGTGCAGTGAGTCAGGGGTAGAAGAAGCCCTCTTGCATGCATATGTGCTCATATCTGAGTCTCCCTATTTACAGGTTAATCTTTCCAATGGTTAGGCTCTCTCTCCTGGCCTACAGACATTCTAAATGCCTGGTTTCCTGTACTTATGTGCTTAGTGATCTGAGCAAGGAGGCCAGATTCTTGGTCTATTTGCAAAAACCATCTATCCTTGCTTAGGTCTGTAGCCGTTGGCTGCAGTTCTTGGGCTTGGCAGTGACTTTTGTTACTATGTGCGGCCAGTTGCAATGGCAACGGCAGCTAATGTTTATGGAGTGCTTGATAGGCATCAGGCGCGGTCTGAACAATCCACATGCTAAGCCACTCAGTCCTCAGCTCTGCTCCACAGGGCGATTATATATTAGCTGCTTCTCAGATGAAAAGGCTGAGAGAGGTGCTTGCCCGAGGTCCCTTAAGCCAAGAACGAGCAGAGCCTGCTTCTGAATATGACCCCAGAGGCCACTCATCCCTGTGCTTCCAGAGCTACTACTGCTCTGAAAGAGTGGGGGTAACTCAAGGAAACATGACCCCCAGTATCTGGAAAGCAGTTCCCCCAAATGGCAGGGAGGAAAAGGGCATGCAGGCTCTGCTGGTGTGCCAAGCCACCATCTTGAAACAGCCGCGTTGCTATCTGTGTGTCCCCAGTTACCAGTGTGAAGCCAGACTCCAAGCACTGGGGGCTTGGTTGGCTGACTAATTGGGTTGGTAAGTACTTTCTTGGGTCAGGCATAGTTCCTGACATTCATAAAGGTATAGGAGAAGGTCTGTCCACTTATGGAAGATGCTAAGCATGGAGTAGGACTTCTGGTTCCTGTTTCTTCTTTTATATCTTTGTCATTTTCCTTTCCCTGAGCACACACATCACCATTCCTTATGGTTCTGACCAAGGATGTTTCTTTGGAGCTTAGTGCTAACTGATCTTAGATTCTCTCTACCTTCACATCTTGGAGTAATTGGTTTCCCCAACTCATTCTTTGAGACCTTCAGTCACCTAGAGGCTTTCCAAGACTCTAGGACCAAGCTAGAATGTTTCTATACCCCCAAATCATAGAAGAAAGAATGGACAACTCCAGGCTGGGCTTCAAGAAGGTTCTCCTGCTGTCGTGAATTATGAGAAGAGTTCACACTTTCAGCTTACAGGCTGGGCCAAGCAGGGATGTGCTGTGGTGTCAGTGAGCGGATTTGGTGAGCATAGTGTGACCGTGGCAGCTGGCCAAATGGCTGTAAACGTGGATGATTTGTACACCTGGATTTCTTTTTGCCTTGTGCCAGCTTGGACCCAAAACTAGCTGGACTCTATCAAAGGGACCATGGCTATAAGCAAAAAGACTCTTTCCTAATTTGAGCTGGCATGAGAGCAAACACATTGTCCTGGAGGCACACCCAGGTTGCCAACTACAGAAAATGGCAAGTGTCGTCCAGGGGCTGGATAAGTGGGACATTCTGGGTATTGACATGCAAATATGCATGGTATAATGTGTGTAGGTGGGCAGGAGCATTGCCCACAGGTTTAGGGAATTCCCCATGAAACTCTCAATTTTTCTTGAAGGCAGTGACTTATGACAAGGATAACCTGGCATGGTGGTGCACACCTGTGATCTCAGCATTCAAGAGATTGGAGGTAGGAGGATCTCAAAAGCTTAAGGTTATCCTTGGCTATGTACTTAACTTGAGGTCAGCCTAGGCTATTGGAGACCCTGTCTCCAAAATAAAGGGTGGAGGGGGATGAAGAATAGGATAGGAGAGTTCCAAGGAAAGAGAAAAGAAAGTGGGCAGCAGTGGGAGCCAGCTGCTAGGAAACAGTGCTGGCTCATGTTGCAGGGGTATGCTGAAGAATGGACTTGGCTAGACCTCAGATGAAGCTTTGGCTGCCCGGGGTGCCCATCAGAAAGCTGCCCTTCCCTCTCCAGCTGCTCCCACCCTGGAATCTCTGCAGGCACACTCTGAGTCTCTTGTTCTATTCCTTCCCTGTTGGTACCCAGCACCTTGGCCACATTCTCCTGGCCTCCGTGTGTTGTGTGTCTGTTTTATCTCTTAGGTCTTTATCAGCAGCCTCAAGGAGTGTAGTGTCCAGTGGACCAGTGACATGGAACCCTGTGAGCATATTTGGTGACCTTCTCTTGGTCCAATGACCTGTGACAGCTCCTGCAATCTTGTTGCTGCCCCAAATATG